CCCACCCACCACACACACACACACACACACACACACACACACACACACACACACACACATAAGCGACGCACTCGAGGGTGAGAAGAGAGGATAGGTGGTGCAGTGTTGGGGTAAGGGCCGTTGCTCCCGTATTTCCAATGTGGTTGGATGCCAGCCTGTGAAAGACATCACCAATGAACATGAGCCGAGCAAGCGAGCAAGAGGGCGTTCAGTACATACGCAGAGCACGGGACAGCGACAAACAGCAGGAGTGTGTCATGTGGCACTGGTTCTGCCGCGTACGCAAGATGGCTGTTGGTAACACGAAGTGATGCTGAAAAAAAATGTGCACGCGCAGCACAGCACTGGAAAACGACACAGCGCCCAGGGCATTCTCCAACGCACCCAAGCCGTGTGAGTGATGTCAGGTGCGGCAGCGCTGCCGCCAGTGCCGTGATCCCATCATCCCCAAGCTGGTTGCCACTCAACCTGTGTGACATGGAGTTGTGATTGCGTGATTGATGCGGAGACACAGCAAAGAATGGGCATCGTGTGATCGTGAGTGAGCCAGGAGGCTGACTGTACTGTCTTCCGGTGTGGGTGATTGCAGCACGTGACAGCACAACGACTTGACGCAGCCATCACGCACAAAACAGGCCACGCTCGTCTTCTTCCTTCGTCTTCTGTTGCGCCGTACTCAAGAATCGAGAGGGCCGTCAGCTGCTGCAGTGCTGGCGCGAGTGTTGAGATTCCCGCGCTTGCCAGCTCATTGTTGGGCAGCCTACGATGGAAACACGGTGCAAAAGCAGGTGCAAGAAGAGTGATCGGGATCGGTGAAGGTGGTGCGTACGTTGTAATGTAACGTGTTCACGTGTACCCAGGTGACCATGTTGCTCGGGACATGCACAGGACAAGACAGAATACTAGAATACTCCTTGTGTGTGTGTGTGTGTGTGCTTGCATGCATGCACACGTACAAGAGGGACTTGATGCCTGCGTTTTGGCGCAGGACAATGGCCAGGGCGCGTGCTCCAGACGTTTTCAGGCGACAATCGCTCAAGCTGTGAGGCGGAGGGAGGTTGGAGAGAAGTGGAGGAGGAGGGAGATTAACTGAGAGGGAAAGGAAAAGGACGGCAAGGACGCGCACGTAATGCGAAGTACGCGAGCACGCAGCAACGTGGACAAGGCGCAGGCAGATGTGCAGCAGCAGCAACAGCAGCAGCAACAGCAGAGAGCAGATAACACTGACGCACTTCAGCAAAGGCATCAACTGGCACAGAACCGCGGCCACAAGGCAAGGGCACCGGCGAGTGTGATTGCTTTCTTGAAACCAAAACGGCGCAACAACAGCTCCAAGACTTACTTGACTTCTAGCTGATTCTGCTCCTGTTCTTTGTAGTCTGCCGCACGAAGAAGGATGGCGCATATCTTGTCGCGCACTGCTTGGTCTTCTTCGTCGTCCACCTGGTCCAGCAACGCTACCAGCTCCTCTCTCCAAGTCTGGCCGACTACGGCTGCCAGAGCTGCAACCTTTGATTTCTCTGCCATCACTGCAGGTTGAGGGAGAGGGAAGAAGAGGCTGAGGGGACTGCGATGGGAGGGGAGTGAGAAGGCGCAAAGGCGAAGACAGGAGCAGGACGAAGAGGCTCAGAGGGGGGGGGGGAATAGAGCAAAGAAGGACAGTCGGACAACCACAACAAAACGCTGTTGGCGATTGCGGAAATTTGGTGAGTGATATGGTATATTTGTCCACACTCCCACTCGCGCAAAACACAACACAAACAACAAACAACTTCTTCCTGTCTTCCTGTCCGTCTCAGCTGTCACCACACCAGCACCGAGTTCACCGCAGCCATGCCCAGAGGACGCGGAAGGAAGAAGACGCAGAAGACGGCAGCGGTGATCAAAAAGAAGGTGGAAAAGCCAAAAGTGAGCGAGGAAGTGGAGGCCTTGCTGAAACAAACGACACTGCCCGTGAGGATCCAGGACAAGATCAGGTCCATCGCCAGAAACACGTGCAAGAAGGAAATCCAGTGAGTCGCCTGGCTTGCAACACTCGACAATCGAACGGCACGCAGCGTCGATTAATGTACTTTTCTTCTCCTTCTTGTGCAGTAGTACCTCGCAGCACTTGCACGTCTCAGTCTCATGCACCACTGCCCTGTCTCTCAATCGCACTGCACACAACAATGTGGAATTGCAGGTTGGGTTTTGAACGGCTCGGCGACGATGGGGCGCGTGCAATTGCAGAGGCGCTCAAGCACAACACCCGCGTCGAACAGTTATGGTGAGCGGGCGATGCAAACGAATTGTCTGTGTGTGTGTGTGTGTGTGTGTGTGTGTGTGTGTGTGTGTGTGTGTGTGTGTGTGTGTGTCTGTCTGTCTGTCTGTCTGTCTGTCTGTCTGTCTGTCTGTCTTTCTTACTGACTGTGT